TTGCTGCTCTCTGTAAACTTCTGAGCTCCTTCCCCAGTTGTGAACTTTCTCCCACAATTAAATGGCCTTTCACCGTTTCTCCCAACACGCAGGTGCACGGAGCAAGGGAAGGGTGTGGTGGGACTGGGGGTGGAGTGTGCAGTGCAGCTGAAGTCATGCATGTGATGACAGGCAACTAGGGGAGGATAAACCTCATTTCTCTCCAATATTTATTAAGGAAAAAGAGTTAAAAAGGTATTAAAGAGTTTCACAATACAGGCAGCAGCCCATATCCAGGCCACATCCAAGTCACTTTTAGGGTGTGAGTGATCATTTCAGGCATCTAGATGGGGACATCATGTTCTTAGATATCATTTTGATATTAAATTAGTCGTATAATACAGTATATTATTGATGAACTTTGTTGAGGATTTTGAAGAAGGCTTCCACAAAAGTAGTTGTTGACACTGGATGGCCGTGTTTAGTGCAGTAAAGCAGATCTGTATCTTGCTCTTGTGCTGACCTGAGGCTTGGGTGGTAAATCTGCCAAAAGCCACATTGAAGATTTGCCTTTTGGTCTATATGGCAGTGGTTCAAGATGTCCAGGACAATGAAACTTAGGAATGACTGGAAATCCAATCCCTTTGATAGAAAGGACCGTCTGTCCATACTTCTGTGCTTGATGCACGACCTCAGTTCTCTTCAGACTGTTAGCACAAAGCAAAATAAAGCACATAAAAGTACAGAAACTTTATTCTTCAGGAATCTTCCAAATGAGGACAGCTGATAGGAAAATTCATCCTGTTGTGTCTCGGCTTTGACTGGCTGCAGGAGATGGCAAGGACCCTTCAAAGAGAAGGGGAGACATTTTCCAAAAACAGCTTGTTAACTAACCTCAGAATGTTAACTGTAAATTACTTAAGATGTAAACAAAGCTGGAGCAAAGACAGTAGTCTGCTTTCTTGTCTTGGGAGCCCACAAGGATTAGGTTCCTCATAAGGATGAGTTTCTTAAATGTTTACCTCTCTTAAAGATGACAGGAAGAGACATGCAGGATCTTTACTCCAGCTTCCACTTTTGATTTTGCTCCCGTTTAATATTTTGAGTCTGATGAACAGAGGTAGTGACAGAAATGCTATCACTGTACACCATCTGCCCACACTTCCAGTGTTAATTCTCAGTTCTTCACTAACCAAAAGAACTTAGTAAAGTGCAGAGACCAACTTGGTCAGCTTGCTGTTATCCTCTTCACAGGATCATTTATACAACCTCTCTTTCCTCTCTTCTTCCCAGTAACTTCAAAACCCACTTCACTGATTTCAGTTAAATTTGGTGGGCAGATGGCAGTCTTAAAGATGGGAAGTTCTTTCAGTCTCATAAAAATCAGTAATCCAAATCAGCTGGGGTGAGAGAGAAATCTAAATGGTACCTCTTAGGCATTAATACTTGTCTTCCATTCCAAGAATCTGTGGTTTTACAACATGGATGAGTCTCACCTTTTGTGCAGCCAGGCAGACAGGGAAATATGGTAGAGTGAGTAGTTACAGAGACTGCCTCGTCTCGTGGTGGTATGAAAGCGATTCACTGCTGGGGAGATTTTTACCCTGCCTCTGTCAGCCACTCTGATGCATCACAAGTAAATAAGTTGGCACTGAGATGGATTATATTCTGCTGTTTTGGAGACTTGGCTAAGACTGGTTTCCTAGGTATTGTGGAGAGCGTATGCTTCAGCACCTGATGCTTACAGAAATCTGATATTAAGATGCTTGTTTTAGATGCTCTGTATTTGTAGCTTTTGCTCGTTATTTAAGCCTAGATTGGGAAAGGTATTTAGGCACTTTTATCCTGTCTCTTTTCCCTGACAGCTCTCATTGGGGTCTCAGGAGCAGACTGCTTTAATGTGGGCAGTTTTAAGAGATTTTATATTTGTTTCTAGGTTGATTTTCTTTCCCTGTCTAGCATGAGCTGCCAAAGCTCACAAGCATTGGCACCACAGCTAAAAGAGCTGCCACAGGTACCAGCAACACTGCCAAAGCTTTGCATATCAACTTCTTTGTCCCTCACCTGTGGGCAGTGCAAAACCTTGAAGTATTATTTTTGCTGATGGCTGCAGGTCTGGGGAATCTTTTTGCTGATATATAGGATTTTTAGGGGATATTATTATGTTATTTAAATAAAACTGCCATTGACATGAAAAGCTTCAGTACGAAACCAGGGTGACTTCATTGTGTTGCCAAAAGTACGCACTCTGATAAGGCCTGCCTGTGAAAGCCAATGAGGAGTATGCACAGGTAGCAGCGTGCTGACATTATAAATCTTTGTAACTCCTGCCAGTAAAGAGAAGGAGGAACATCCTAAGACCCCACCTTTCCCTCTTAAGAGGACAGCATCTGTTTGTGTTCAGTTCAGGTTCATCTATGAATGAATACATTCATCACCAATGACAGATGCCCAGCCACTTACAGCTCTTTTTGCTACATGTGCACATGCAAACGGTCATTAGCAAAGATTTCTGTCATCCTTGCCTCTGCCTCTGCTCTGTACGGTCACCTTGCTCCCAAAACCCAACAACCTGTGGCCAGCAGCGAGGAGGAGCTGCCAGGCTGCCTGCTCTGAGTGTTCTCCACAATCTGTAACCTACAGGGTCCTCTCGCCATCTCTGCATCTGAAAGGGTTGCAGTGAGCATGGCAGGGCCTTCACTGTCCTTTCTGCACTTGTATCCTAAAGATTCACAAACACGATTTTCAGATGCAGCTCAGTGACTTTTAAAAACATCTGTTTTTATTGGATGCCAGTGGTACATGTGCTCCCACAACACTTAGGTTCTTTAAAAGCTGTGCTCTCCAATATAAGGCAGTCTATAAGCAAATATCTTGAGACCACTTCTCACCACAATTAGCGGTAATTAACAAGAACACATGGTCACTGCATTGCAGAAGCAGCTAGAAATTGCATTGCCCAGAGGAGGAATCTGGAGGATCAACACAATTCATCCTCTTTTTGTGCATGAAACTGTTGGGATGTCTTCAAGCCCTCATCAGCCATCCCTTCCTCCCCGTGCTGTGACACCCAAGATTCAGTATAGCACCTTCTCTTTTCCCTGCTCACTCACCCCTGTACCTGCACTAACACAGGTCTGGGCTGTGAGCACACCAAGACTTGAGTGGCTGTGTCACAGCTCTTCCTTGCCATGCTGTGGCATCCCTACAGACACAGCTCCCATCCCCCTGTGGGGAAGCAGCACTCAAGCAAGAAGGAAGGAGGTGTGCAGGCCCAGCATGATACAGCACCAGAGGTACCTGTGGTATGAGGTAGGTGAGTTTCATTTTCCACTTCCTTTCTGGTTTGCTTGTTGGTTTGCAAAGAGAATTGACAGTGGGATGTTTTTGCATGAGTCACAACTGGAGCCCCCAGTACAGATAAACAGCACTCAGACTTTCATCTGGTTCTGTCCTGGGCCAGCCTGGTCCATGAGCTTTCCTGGGGGGTCAGGAGGTGGGAACTAGAGGCTTCCTTTTTGAAAAGACATCGGAGAAGACACGGTGTGGATCAGTCCTAGCTCTTCTAAGAACAAAAATCAGCTGGTCTTACAACCATAGAACCACAGAATCATTTGGGTCTGAAGGGACCTTTAAAGATTATCCAGTTGAACCTTCCTGCCACAAGCAGGAACATTTTTCACCAGACCAGGTTTCTCAAAACCCCACCCAGCCTGGCCTTGGACACTTGAGGGATGTGGCATCCACAACTTCTCTGGGCAATCTGTTCCAGTGCCTCACATCCTCATAAAGAAGTTCTTCCTTTTATTTAATCTAAATCTACCTTCTTAGTTTAAATTAATTGCCCTTTGTTCATCACTACAGGCCCGGGAAAAATGTCTCTCTCCCTCTTTGTTATAAAATCCCCTTTAAGTACAGAAAGACTGCAATAAAGTCTCCCTAGAACCTTCTCTGGGATGAACAGACCTGACTCTCTCAGCCTTTCTCCACAAAAGTGTTCCAGCCTTCTGATCAACTTCTAGCCCTCCTGTGGACCCTCTCCAAGAGGTCTGTGTTTTGTGCTAGGGGCTGCAGAGCTGAATGGTGTACTCCAGGTGGGGTTTCACAGGAGCAGAGTGGGACAATCCCCTCCCCTGACCTGCTGGTCACACTTCTGAAGCACTTCTGATGCAAATGGTTGGCATTATGGGCTGCAGGTGCAGCTGGGTCACATCCAATTGGTCATCCGCCAGTACTCCCAAATCCCACTCCTCCAGGCTGCTCTGGATCCATTCATCCCCAGCCTCTACTGATATTGAGGACTGCCCCACACCAGATGTAGGATCTTGCACTTGGTCCTGTTGAATTTAGTGAGGTTTATGTGGGCCCACTTCTCTGTATGGCATCCCTGCCCCTGCTGAATCCAGGGCACCACTCAGCCTGGTGTCCTCTGAGGAATTCCTGAGCGTGACTCAGTCTCACTGTCTGTGTCATTATTAAAGATACTGAGCAGTACTGGTCCCAGTGCAGGATCCTGAGGGACACCATTTGTTGACAATCCCTGTTGGGATGCTGAGCCATTGACTGTATTTGGATCCCATCCAGCCACTTCTTTATCCATCAAATAGTCCATCGATCAAATCAACCTCTCTCCAAATTAGAGGTAAGACTGTTGTGTGGGACCATGCCAAAGTCAATACAGAAGTCCAGGTAGTTGACAGGTTGCTTACTTTCCGTTGGGTTGGAGTGGGTTCAGCCTGCCCTGCATTTCCCAAGGATATCAGAGGTCATACCTGCATTTCAGTTTGTGCCTGGTGGGATCCCCCTTGCCTGGAGGCTCTCTGCAGGCAGAGGTCCAGCCTCCCTGGCTCTGGACTCTTTCCTGCAACTGAGAAACGATCCAGCCCACAGCAGGGAAGGAGTTAAGTGCTTGACCAGCTGCTGTCTGTGAGGCACTGAATTCCTTCCCCATGCAATCCAGCAGCCAGTGTCAGGACAGCTATATTTAGAAAGCTGATAAAGGTTTGGTGCCAACAGTTGTCCTGCCCCTCGATGAAGAAGCAGTAGAGAGAGTGAGAGGGGGGCAGCTGGTTGCTTTCCCCCCCAGTACCGCTCCTTCTTGTCTTCAGTGGATTCCTTTGCCGTGCTGCCAGCAGGGACCCCCAGTGGAGCCATCAGGCACAGGGGTAAGTTCCCTTTCCTTGCTCACCCTTCTCCCTGCTCACTGCCCCATGAGTGACCACGCGGCCGCCATCCTCCGGCCTGAGCCCTTGGGAGCTGCTGCTGCCCCTGTGGCACTGAGGCAAGAGTCCCTCTGCCTGGGCCAGGGCAAGGGTTGGCTGCTGTGTTTCCACATTCCTAACTGAGCTGTGGTGCCCTCACCCAGTGTGAGAACAGCAGCCTCCACACAAAGGATTACAAGGACAAAGTCCCAAGCCTTCAAGCTCCTTTGGCCTTAAGCGTTAGGAGCATTTCATTTTGGGGACACGAGGTCTCATGTTTCTTGCCCCTGACCCTCCTTCCAGCCCGGCTCAGGCTGTGTATGGCTCCTTCCAGCCACCACATGCAGTCAGGCGAGTATAGAGTTTCTGCCCTGCCACCCCTTCCTTCCTGGCCTTCCAGCACCCTTACTCACAGGCAAAAGAGCATTGGCGCTCGCTGGGCAGCAGCCAGGGATCTGCATGAGGCCCTGGGAATGGCAGGTGCCCTGGAAGACGAGCCAGCGCAGCCCTTGTGGAAAAGGTTCCTCACAGGAGCAAAGTGTGGGAGCCCTTCTGCTGTCCCTCCCTGCCACTCGTGCCCCAGAGCCAGGAATGGCCTCCTGTGCAGCCCTGGGTAACGGCTCTCCCTGCTGCCCTGCTCCTTGTAGGGATCCCCAGCAGCCGCCATGGCCAGCGGCAGAGATTCGGACAGCGAGCCGGCGGTGCCCGAGGAGGAGGAGGCGGAGGGCCCGGACGTGAAGGCCGTGCAGGCCCATTACCTGCGCAGCCCCTCGCCCAGCCGGTGAGTCCACAGGCACTGCCACGGCTCCTGGCAGCACGTGGGAGCTGCTGCCCTTCCCTGCTTCCCTTCCTTCCTCCCCTCCACCCTGGCGCTTGGGCCAAGCTGAGCCCGGGGATTCCCTGCCCTCCCTGAGGTGGGGTCAGTGTGCCAGCTCAGACGGAGCCTGCAGAGACAGGACTCCTGCACTAATTAATCCATCCTGCTGGGAGAGTGCACAGCAGGGATAAACTGCAGGAAGGATTACTGTGGGCTGGTGGTGTCCCTCTTTCCTGTCTCACCCTCTCATATCCCTTTGCTGAAACTTCTGATCCAATTTCAACTCTTTGCAAATTCAGCTTCGTCTTTATGTCCATTATAAGGACTTGTGGATTTATTAAATGTTGATATTAGGCTTCGCCAGCTGCAGAAAGACCAAGGGTCTTGGGATTTGGGTCTGATTCAGAATCAACTTTAGCTACAGGCTTCAGGCACTGAACAGGAGGCTGTCACAGCACAAGCAGAAATTGAGTTACCTCAAGCAAAACAAGCATGATTGGATGTGTTTTCTCCCAATACAAGGAAAAATACACCCCTTTGTTCTCTTTTCCTATAGCAAAATGCTCTGCAGGGCTTTCTGTAACCTTTGAGATGCTTTAGCTGAAAGCAAGGAGTAGGTATAGAGTTTGAAAAGAACCTTCCCCAGTGTCCCTCAACAAGTAGGATGTTATGAAATGTTTCCTGCTAACTGTGGGACATTGCGGAAAAATTGAGTACTTATTTCATTTAACCACATGTATTTCAAAATTGTTTAGGAAGATCACTGAGTTCACATAAAGTAAAATTATGTATTGTAAAATTATGTATTGAGCTGTCTCCTACTGCTCATCAGTCACTCAAAATGAAAAGAAACATCTCTCCAATTTATTCCCTTCCCTTCCCTTCCCTTCCCCTGTTACTTTTTTTTCTCCCTTTTTTCTTGCTGTCAGTGGCAAAACACGGTGATGAAAATGGCAAGATCCTTCCCAGCCAGAGGGGGGTCCTTGAAAGACCCAGGCTTGGGCAGATCTGTGTTTCACAGATGCTCAGGGCAGCTACAGGTAAAATGTGTTGAGCCTGTGGTGGCAGATTATTGCCAACTGTTACCTTTTTATTGAGCTTGGAGGCAACCTTCTTAGCAAAAGGAATCGAAGGCAGGGCATAGCTGCAAATTTGTGTCAGCTCCTGTAAATGAGACTGAGACTCCCCTTGCTCATCTCCTAAACTCCTTTGAAGAACTAGAAAAGGATTACTTTCAGTCACGGTTGGCAAGTGCTGGAACTCAAGTAAATGACCTGGATGAGCCTGTTAAGTGGTTTCCGATGGCTGTGCCCTCTGTTCTGATTCTGGAGCCTGAAAGCAGTTCAGCTCTCCAGACACTGCTGCACCCTGACTGAATATTAATCACCCTCCCTCTCCTGCTTTAATTAAACAAAAACAAACAGTGTATTGCTAGTCTGCAAGCCTTGCATTGCCAGAGAGCTTCTGTGATGGCAGCAAACTTGTCCTAGTGATTTGTACCATCTATTTGGAAGGAAGTGTAGAGGGTGTAGATCAGGGAAAAAGCTCTGTAAAATATTTTGTTAAGATGGTCTAACTGAGAGACTGAATTTTCTTGGACTGTGTAGGTGGACCCAGAGGAAAATATACTTGTTTTTAAGGTTGTGGCCTTTTTTGCTTAACAAAAACTTATTACACTGTGTTAAATAACTCACTTCAAAGGTGTTTGTGGGTGTCATAGTGGTTTCTGACCCACAGTTACACAACACTGAGTGAGTGGAGAGACTGACCACAGATTCATGCTCTGAAGTGCCCAAGGTACAAAGTACTGAGGGAGAGATTCATGGGCTTCAATCTCAGTGTTTGCACTGCAGCTTGTGGTAACTCAAAGGATGCTTGCAGACAGTTAACTGGCAGGAAGAAAATCCAACAGTTATCTAGCACAATCTGTTTTGAATTACTCAATAAATTCTAGTTAGGACCATGTTTATGTCTGTCTGTCTAAGTGGGAGTTACTTGTGAGACTATTTTGTGTGATCCATCCCCCTTCCAGTCTCAAGCCAGACACTGATCTTCTCTATCCATAAACTCCTCCACCAGGCAATTTGATTGCACTCCCAGCCCACTGCAGCTTCTCCCCATGGGACCTGCCTACATCCTGCAAACACTGGATGCCAAGGCATCTTTGAAGCCTGTAGTGGCATGCTAGAGATCGGGGTGGGAATGAGATGTGGGAGAAGAGCTGGGACTTCCCTCCTACAGTCAAAGAATCCTCCCTGCTCCAGTTCCCTGCTATTTCCCCTTTGGAATGGGTGAAGAGGGCTGAAGTCCTGGTGATGGGATCCCAGTGGAGGGCATTTGCCTAACTGGCAGTGTGTTTGGTTGGCAGGTATTCAGTTATATCAGACACTGACACAGAGAGCATCTTCATGGAGCCAATCCATCTGTCATCTGCTGTGGCTGCCAAACAAATCATCAGTGAAGGTAAGAGACTATGTAAGTTACAGAGACCTGAAATTCCACTTGTTTTGCCTTTCTCATCTACAGATCCTAAATCATAAAAAAGCCCTTCCATCTGAAGTAGAGAAAGAAAGAACAACTTACAGAAAGGTTTGGTGACTTCCTTTGAAGCTGGGCAATGATTCTGTGGCAGAATTGTGTGCTGCAGGTGTAAAAGTTTGAGTGCTGGTTGCTTGCTGCAACAAACTAAATTAGAGTAGAATGGAATAGAACAGAACAAAATGGAGTATTTCAGTTTAAAGGACATATGTGATCATCTAAGTCCAACTATCAGAGCTGACCAAAAGTTAAATCATATTATTAAGGCACGGGCCAACATTTCTTAAACACCGTTAAGGATGGGGCATTAACCATCTCCCTCGGAAGCCTGTTCCAGGGTTTGACCACCCTCTCAGAGAAAAAGTGGTTCTCTGTGTCCAGTCTGAATCTCCCCAGCTCAGCTTTGAACCATTCCCACATGTCTGATCACTGGATACCAGGGAGAAGAGCCCAGCAGCTCCCTATCCGCTTCCCCTCTTCTGGGCCTGGAATAAGGGTGCCCTTAACTCCCAGGCCTTTGGCCAGTGTGGGGCTGAGTGCAATGTGCCCTTCTCCTTGCTGATTACCCTGAGGCTGTTCCTAGGTGAACACGTACCTGCCCACATTGCAGACAGAACAGGGTGATATTTCTGGGGAGCAAAAGCCACAAGGCTTGTCCCAGGCACAGGTAATGATAGCTCATACATTTGCGTTGTTTTTGTGTGCTTTTAGTTACAATGTCAGTTTATTCCAGAGCTGAAGACAAAGGACGTCAGGGTGGACTCGGTGTGTCCCAGGATGCTGGAGTCTGCGCAGCAGCTGATGGTGGAAGACCTGTACAACCGGGTTAAGGAAAAGATTGATGACACCAGCTTGTTTAACACGCCGTGTGTGATGGACTTGCAGAGGGCACTTGTGAAGGACAGGCTGGAGACCCCCAGGGACGCTGTGGATGAAGTCTGGCCTAATGTCTTCATAGCAGAAAAGTGAGTGTCGGCTTCTGTCATCAAGTTGCACAAGATTCCCAGTAAAGGGTCAAATGGAACCATTGAAGGCATAACATGTATTACATGCATCTAATACCTTTCATCCCTAGAGAACCCTAAAGTGTTTTTCAGACTGTGCTCACAGAAATATCTATGCACTGGAAAGTAAATACTTCTGGAATAGAATCAGCAGCTTTCCTATGCTGTTTAGATGCTTCAACAGTTTAAGAGAGGCAAAGACAAATAAACCCAAATCCCACTGTTCTGATTGGAATTTGGCCCTAAAATTGGAACTAAAGTCTTTGGTATGTAAAAGGGAGTTTAAAAGGTAATGCCAAAGCAAATGTCAAGTAAATATGACTAGGTCTCCTGTACCATGGTTCAGCTGTCTGAGGTACCTGTGTATGTGACCAGACAGAATTAGAAGGGGATATAGAGTAAAGCATGGATTATGGAGTGATAAAAATGGATAAATAAGTACATGGCCTGAACCTAGGATGGCAGTATGAGTTTCAAACCAAGCTGGAGTGGAAACAGAGCATATGGCCCTACCGGTGAATGCAGGCTTCTTGTTTTCTTTTCAGTGAGTATTGGAAAGAGATACCTATAGAACTCTCAAAGGACATTAGGGTCTGAGTGGTGCCTCATGCTGAATGAGTTACATGGACTGGGAGTTATGTAGGCCTTGTAGCATGCAGCTTTTTTCCCACCTAAAATAGGAGCACTGATATCTAACATGTTTCTTCCTTTTCTGCAGAAGCGTTGCAGTGAACAAAAGCCGTTTGAAGAGACTGGGGATCACCCATGTCCTGAACGCAGCTCATGGCACAGGTGTCTATACAGGGCCCAGTTTCTACAATGGTCTCAATATCCAGTACCTGGGCATTGAGGTGGATGATTTTCCAGATACAGATATCTCCAAACACTTCCGCCCAGCTGCAGAGTTCCTTGACGAAGCCCTGCTGACTTACAGAGGTAAGAGGAGAAGATTGAAGTGGTTCCAGGTTGCTTGAGAATTAACAGGGAGAAACCTTACTCTGGTAAACTGATATGCCACATTTGTAATAGGGTGGAAGGCAGAGCCTTTGCCCTCTGCATGACAGTGAACACCTCGTGCCCGTTTCTGCTGAGTCTCATTCAAAACAGGAGGGAGCAAACTGGTAATGGGAGGCAGCCCAGCAGCCCCATGGCTTCAGGTTCAAAGTGGCTGCAAGTCAGCTCCTGCAGCTGATTTGAAAGAACCTGACTATAGCAAAGAGTAGAATCCCTGCTCTAATACATTTTAAAAAAATATTGATACCCTATAATACTATATATATAGAGAGATAGATATACCCTATAATACTATATATATAGAGAGAGATGGATATATTTCTGTACCCTGCACGGTTCAGTTTCACCATGATGCAAAAAACCAGGCTGATTTACTAGAACAATCCAAGTGGCTGAGTTGAACCTTTGGGTGTCTACACCCAGGTTGCTGTCAGATTTGCTGGATTTCAATTCCATGGCAATTCTGGCAAACACTGTTATTTCTGTGGACCTCCAGTGCACACTGGTCATTTTGTTGCAAATTCAGTGGACAGTTAGAAATATCTTTTTGCAGTTCAGTATTGAAAGAAGCACCAGGGTCTGTGATATCACTGATATTCTTCATAGAAATTGTCAATTAATCTAATTTCTGTAGAGTGGCAACAGATTACCTCCTAGCAGTAGTGACAGTAAGAAAAGTGTAAAGTTTTGTTAGTATGCAAGGAACATTGAGCCACCTTTAGTAGCTCAACAACACGAGGAGGATGCACCAAGGCTGACGAGCCTTGGAAGAAATGAAAGGAAGGAGATTTCCCCCTCTTGGTGAGCTGTTAAATTGGCTTAGCTGGCTGGTGAAACACTTGGAAGGCAACCAAGACTTTTGATGCTAAGGTATTAAAGAGATTTCAGGATTGTAGGAAGAGGTTCATTAGGTAAACCTCTTGTGGTAACATATCAGCAGTTAGAAAGATGATGCTTAAATTGGCTTCATTAAGTTTCAGTGCAAACAGATTGATTAAACTGGAGTTTATCACACATTTAGAAACAGTAATTTCAGTTGTTTGCCAGCTAGCAGAGCCTCATTTACACTCTCTTCATATTTACAAGCTTTTCTTTAGTGGTAATTTGCCATACAAGTAACTTAAACACCAAATAATTTGTCTGTGCCAAAGCTTGGTTTTCTGCAAGAGGTAGTAAATGCTATAAAATAAAGCAGATCCTCAGTTTTGACTGTTGCTTATACAGTTACTGGTGCAGGACAATGGGTCCCAGTAGTTTGAAGCATCTGGATCAGTTTGTCAGAGTCAAAATCAGCTCTTTTCTGATAGTTGCTTGGTTCTGCTCTTGTAAGATAAAACAGGACTTTGGCCTCCAGTCAGTCTTCAATGTAATTGTTTGAGGGTACCTTCAAAACCAATCTAGATTCTAGCAAAAATACAATTAAATTAATATATAATTGTTATTTAAGTCCTAGAATGTCCCTTATGGAAAAAATATGTTACTTGCTTATCCTCCCAATACCTTCCTGGAGGCTAATGCTAATATCTCACTTTTTACATATTGAGAAAAGAGCATTGAATGCTTAAATGTCTGACCCTATGTCAGCCAGCAAGTCAAGAATATTTCACTTGCCTTTCTAATACCTATTATAAGCTTTTTTACTATTTGAGTAAGTGAAGCGTGTAGGCGAAAATACAAAAACTATTTAGATTGTTTGGAAATGTGCCTGCCCACAGTTTTTGAGGCTAATGTGCTTTTTATTTGTATGCATCCAGATTTTTATTACTGTAAAGCTAGTGAATGTTTAGTGTTGGTTTCAGTCTCTGAAGCATATAATCGGTGTAGTCTTTAACACTATGCAGAGAATGCTTTTGAGCTACATACCCAGAGCATCCTGTCTGTTATTGGAAATAGCTGATGCCTTTCATGTTCACTGTCTGTAGGCAGAATCCTTGTCAGCAGTGAGATGGGGATCAGCCGCTCAGCTGTGCTGGTGGCTGCCTACCTGATGATCTACCACCACATGACCGTTCTGGAGGCTCTGATGACGCTGAGGAAGAAACGTGCCATCTACCCCAACGACGGCTTCCTGAAGCAGCTGCGGGAGCTCAATGAGCAGCTGTTGGAGGAACGAGAGCTGGAGCGTTCTGGAGATGAGGACGTGACTCCAAGCCAAAGTCCTCTTGCCTATGCAGGGACTTCTTCACGGCTGTCTGGAGCTGGGGACTCAGGGAGCATCAAGGGAGCCAAAGCTCATTCCATCACAGTGGAAGAAGAGGACACCAGCAGCATTCTGGGTAGTTTTATGAGCTCTTCCTCAATGGAAAAAACTAGCTGGGTTTCCAAACACTCCACCCTAATCACTGAGGAGGAAGAGGAACAATTGTATGAGGAATGGAGGAGGAAACAAGGCCTATCTGCAAAGGAAGCAGTTCACCATGAAAGAAGAACATCTCCAAAGCATTTGGATCAGGAAGAGGAACAATCTGATGAGGATGTGGAACAGAGGATCCATGATTGGCAGCGCAGAAATGAGAAATACCAGATGGCAGGTACAGCCAGGGAGGAGGACGGTGAATGCAGCATGGGAGGAAGACCTTACCCATCAGGTGAATTCAGTGATGTTGAGAGTGTGAGCAGTTATGAGATCCGAACCCTAAAAAAGCAGCTGGAAGCCAGTAGCTTTAGCAGGATGAGGAGGAGCCGCACAGGCTCTACGTCTTCTGAGAGCACCTGGGACATGTGGAATCAGAGGCTTCTGGAGATTGAGAAAGAAGCTGCTCAGAGGTATCATTCTAGGAATAAAACCTGTGGGGAGAGACAATCCCCAGAAACTGGCAGAAAGGAGAGGGATGTGGATGAGGAGAGTGTGTTTTCAGACTCCTCGTGTAGCTCCTTCTACAATTTCTGCCAAAAGAACAAGGACAAGTTGACTCCTCTAGAGAGGTGGAAGGTCAAGAGGATCCAGTTTGGCTTTCACAAGAAGGATTTAGAACCATCATCTGCACCATCTCCAGCAGAGGATGGCAGCCAGGCAGGTCAGGAGGAAACAGAAGGGAAGAGTTTGTCAGATATTGATCTGACTGCTTACCAGGCTTGGAAAATGAAGCGGCAGAAGAAGGTGGGCAGTGAAATCAGCAAGGAGGAATTTGTGGAATTTGCCAAAACTGAGGATTCTGCTTCGGCTAAAAAGAAGCAGAGGCGTGTAGAGCTTCTTGAACGTTCAAAGAAAATTTTAGAAGAAAGCCAGTCCATGTGCAGCTGGGAGACAGAGAGTACAATGAGTGGGAGTATTCCCCTGTCAGCTTTCTGGTCTTCAGCGCCTTCTGCAAGCGGTGCCGACGATGCAGCTTCTGCCCTGAGCATGCAGACAAATCATTCATCTTTGTCACAGGCCAGGAGTTGTGCTGGAGCAATGCAGATGCCAAATATACCCCTTCCCAATCTCTCAGTTGGCCCAGGTGACACAATATCCATGGCAAGCATTCAGAACTGGATCGCTAACGTGGTCAGTGAAACCATTGCTCAAAAGCAAAATGAGATCCTGATGCTGTCCCGTCCATCGTCCGCCATGGCCTCCCTGTCGGGAGACCTTGGCAGGCATGCAGATGATGACAAGGTTTCTCTTCTCAGTGCTCAGAGCGGCTCATCCCTCGCTGCCTCTCAGCTCCACCAGCAGGACCTGCGCAGGGCTGAGTCTCAGTCTGTGCTGTCTTGCAACACCTCCGTGAGCGCAAGGACAGAAGGGACTACTTCAAACACGAAGATGACCCAGACAAGCAAACCACTGTACAGCCTCTTTGCTGATGATGTTGACCTAAAGAAACTAAGGAGGAAAGAGAAGGAAATGCAAATGGAAATGAGAGAAAAAATGTCAGACTATCAAATTGAAAAGGTGATTAGAGACAATAAACGCAGCACTTTATTCAAAAAAAAGGTGACCAAAGCAGAGGAAAATGAAACAGAAGATGACAGAGAGAGTACAACAAACAGCCACAGGCGTCCCTTGCAAGCAGATTTTGACAGAACTGATGCAGTCTTTGATCTGTCCAGTCAACCTGCAACCTCAGGTGCACCAAAGTCAGAGGCAGATACTGATATTACCAAGTGGCTCAATGGCCTCAAAGCAGAAAGAGAACCACCGTCATATTATGATCAGACTGAGATCACTAGAGAGAAATATAGCAGATCATCCAAAGTTAGACAGATGGATTCTGAGACATCCAGTTACAGATTCTGTAGATCCCAAAGAAAAGAGCTAGATAGCTGTTCTTCCTACGAGTCAACAGGAGATTCACTGAGAACCATGTCAAGATTTTCCTCTGCTTCTGCAAAAGAGGACAAAAAGATGTACAAGTTCACAAGGTCCAGGGTCAGTGAGACAAGTTCCAGAGGAAACAGCCCAGAGCTGCATGTTTTCAACCAGTCACCTGAACCACCCTTTGACTCTGAATCTCCTGAACCATCTACACAGAGCCGAGTTAGAGCTCATCATGTGGAGGCATGTGAAGAGGAGGCCAGGTCAGACGTGTCAGAATGTGGAGCAAAGAGAAAGTTCACCCAGAGCTTTTCAAAGTCTGAAGAGGATGGGAAGAAGGAGGCAAAAGTGGAGCAAAGTGAAGAAAGGTTTGCGTCTAGGCAGGTCTCTCAGTACAGGCGAAGCACACGTAAAGAGGAGGAAGAGGAGATGGATGATGATGCCATTATTGCTGCTTGGAGAAGCCGACTAGAAGAAACTACAGCAAAGCTCCAGCGGAGAAGGGAAGAGTGACCAAGATCAGACTACAGGAACACGAGCAGAGCCACAGAGTCCCTGAATCACTCACTCATCATTATATTTTTGATAATCCTTTGTGGTTTGTAGGGCATTTCCTGCAGATACTTCTCTTCTTAATCAAAAGCGATGAAGGGAAGAGGTCAAGTTCTGCAAGTGTTTGTGGTTTGTCAGAAGGAAGATGCTGGTATTAAATGATCAATGTAGGTAGGAACACAATGTTAGAAGCCATTAGGAGCCAGACGATGTTTCAGCAGCAAAAGCAGGTAACGGTGACACCTCAAGTCAAAAGACCAATCGCATCCCATTTTGGTTATTTCAATTTCCTAGTGTCGTTAAAGACTGGACATGTTTTTTCTAGGATCTTTTTGATCATAAATGGAAGAAACCAACAGCCTTTTCTAGGAACTTAAAGAATGTTTTTCTCTTAATGAGTTTTACTTTATACGACTGAGAAGATATTACCAGGTAGGCTCCATTTTCTGCACCAGCCTTACAAATGTCTAGAGAAATAAGACAGTTCAGGGGAATACATGTTCTGTTTTACTTTACTAAGTAGCAGAAGCAAAGTGGAATACTAGAAAAAAGAAGATGCCTCCTGTTTAAAAGTTCAGTGCAGTAATGAATGTATTCATTGTTTTCTATTAGATGGAATCATCTCTGCTCCAGTATGGTTGGTTCCTCCAAATAACTTCAGGTCAACAAAGGAAAAATGCAGTAATATTAGCAGCCATCCAAAAATCATTTTTTGACATAGTTAAAGAGATAGAGTTAGGATTAGTGTTAGTGTAAGCTGGGTTTCTGAGTATTGGCTTCACTTTGCTTATGTATGCAGCTCAGCTAAGTTGGTGCTTTTCTGTTTATAGTCAGATTAATTTTCAACATGATTGCCTTGAAAAAAAGGAGCAATGCACAAACTGACCTCATAATAAAATTGTTTAATTAGGCCATAGGTGTAAGGTATCGTGCACCTAAGGAGAAATTGTGTGTCTGTGAAGGTGGCACCTGGAAGCTTGTTTTTAGGAGGCGGTGGTAGGTTCAAATGGCGTCTTACAGTTAAAGTGTTCTTTGTATCCTGAGCTACACAGGAAGAAGCCCAGCCTCCATGGTAACTGAGTACTCCAGGTTAAGAGCCTCGGGTCTTTCCATGCCCTGCAGAGCCTTGTGAGCTTGTGTGACACAGCCCACCAGCTTGCCACAGCATCACTTGTGTGTCTTTGCACACCACAGCACCCAACCCTCACCAGTCAACATCCTCCACCTCTCTCTTACAGGCACATAGGCCAGTTTCTACTGACTTTGACTCTGGAATTATCAGTTCCCTCTTCTGTACAGACTGTATTTTGAACCAACAAAGCCCTCTGGCAGAGCTGAATCTAAAACAACAATGGAGGGATGATGCAGTAGCGCTCTCTCACAGGAAGTTTGTCTTTTTCTTGTAATCTCTTCTCCCTCCCACTGTGATGCTTAGAGCTCACCATTACCATTATGCTAGTACCTCTCCCTATTTTAATTGTGTAATACAGACAGCAAGCTCCACAGGGCAAGGGCCTGCTCTTTGTCCCTGTCTGTATGGCGCTACACACATCAGCAATGCTATCTAAATAATGGTTACTGATAACAAAATGCAGCTGGCAATTTTCCTAAACTTAGAAATCATTTCTCTCAACTATAACTCACTGATCAGACATTATCCCTGCTTCTCTGAAGATAAAGATGATTCTTTCTGACAGCCAGGACTGGGGTAAATGATAGCTACTTATTGTCAGGTGAATGGAGTCTCACAATCAGGTGATTAACCAGTAACAAAGGTAGAAAAAATAAGAGAAATCACTTACTAGTGTGGGTTGTTTCAGGGTTTTGGTTTTGTTGTTTTTTTTTTTAAATTAAACTCAAATTACATTTCTGAAATACATAAGGAACATGGTTGTGTTAATGTTTCGGGCATGCAGAGATGCTCTGTGGTTTATAATGCTCTTCTGCTATAAAATAATATATAATACAATGCATCCCTTGTTTCTGCATATTTCTGTGAGTTGTTATTTTTAAAGTAGTGAAATTCCAGGCCTTGAGCCACATTCTGAGAATTTATATTGAATTTCTGCAGTGCGTGTTAGGATAGGCATTTTCCTCTTTCCTTCGTCCCTGGTAAAGTTGCTCCACAGAAAACAGCTCTGCATAGATATATTTGGAGCTCGCTTTAATTTCATCCTAGAAAAGGTCTTAAGTTTTGATGGATCAAAGTGGAAGTGTGCAATACCTTCTGGCACTGAATTTACTTTTTTATCAAAGGCTGATTTCCTCTGAAAAATCCCTCTCCTGCTTCCTGTGCCTGGATGTTCCCAGCAGACAAGCCTGTCCTCTGCAGTACTGCAGGGGGCATCTCGCGCTGTAAAAGACGAGCAGTAGATGATGTAGTAATTGGTTTCATTTTGCACTGTACAGCACAGCCTTTGTTTGGGCAGCATTTTGATTTAAACACTAATCTAGGTCTGCTGCACAAATAAATTATTCAAGACCGAGGGGCAGAATATGGTTCTGTAACAAGTCTGAGGCAGACCGTCCTGATAGCGAGTTTTGACCCTTGTGAGAAAGGGTTAAGTGGGTTCTGCTGACTCATTGAGGTAGGTGGCTTATTAGTTCACTTGTGTAAAAGGGAGATAAAAATGGTTTGCTGGGGAGAGGCCATCTAAGATGCTGGCTGAGCAGCCATGAGGGAGAAGCCTTAGAAATAGCTGAACTTTATTTTCTTATTGCTTATATCCTTGTTAATAAAGCCAAACCCCCAAAGCAATAAGGGGGTGGGGATCATTTTGGACTCCATGCAGTATATGGCCAGTGCTTGAAAGCAAGATGGGAAAGGCTCCAGCTCACAGGTATAAATTACATGAAACAGTGACATAAAGACCTTGCATGGTGAAAATATTAAAGCATTCAGTCATAAGACCAATAACCAGGAGAGACAGAAATGGAGGGTTGAAGGCAGGCTAGAAAGTCAGGTTTTAAGATGAGAATTTAGAAGGAGATAAGAAATTGCTGAAAGGGGAGAGGTCTGCACAGATTGTTTCAGGTGACCAGAGCTGCAGAGTGAATGGTTTTTCAGCAATGACACCAGTCTGACAGTAGATTAAAAGAGTAAATAAGTACTCAAATTTATCTAGGAAGGATTTTTCAGCAAAGATGTGCTGGGACTGATATATTTTTTTCCCCTCTCAGTTTGCTGCTGTAGGGAGGAGGGGTTTTTTGGCATTGTATAGCGGAAGGTGAAAGTGAAAGGAGCATCCACACGGTCAGTTAAGAATATAAACACAAGAACATAAGAAAGGCTGTATGGGGTCAGACCAAAGGTCCATCTGGCTCAATATCCTGTCTCTGATAGAGAACAACAGCGAATACCTAGGGAAGAATATATACAGTGATAAAAGTGTTATTTCCCCAGCATGATCTTCCAGCTTCTGATCATTTGCAACTCGAGGACTTCCTAAGCCAGGTGTGATATTTTTGTATTTAATAGCCCTTAATAGGTTTCCTTCTATGGAAGTGCCTAGTAATTTTTGAGTTATAACCACTATAGCCTCGTACCGCTAGCCTCTGTGTCCTCTTGTAGCAAGAAGTCCCACAAGTTACTGTACACAAAATGCTAAGCCATCTTCTTTCTGCCTGTTCTGAACCCTCTGCCCACTAGCCTTCAAAGCCAACATAGTATCTGTTTAGTATCTACATGTCCCACCAGATTTTACTCTCCCCTGCAGTCGTTCTGTCCCATCCTTAATTCCCTGGTTTTTCACCTGAGTTACTTATTCCTTATATAGGGGCCGCCCCATGTCTCTTTATTGTCCTGGCCAATCTTCTCTGAACTCTTTCTAGTTCTCCTTTGTCATGTTTGAGATGAGGGACCAAATCCTCACACAGTATCCAGGGTGCAGGTGTGGCAGGGATTTATCCTATGGCATATTGACCTTTTTTTTCTCTTTTCTGTTCCTTCCCTATTGACTGCCAACAGTCTGCATGTTTCTTTGGCTGTTGCTGAGCACCAGAGTGATGTTTTCATAGAACTATTTATTGTATACACCAAATTTTGTTGGACGGCAATGGTCAGCTCTGTGATCATCATTTTATATGTTAAGTTTTCTTATTTGTAATGTTTTACATTTATTAGCCTTGAATTTCATCTGCCATCTTCTCAGTCTCTCTGTTGCATTAAGTCCTTCTGCATTTTTCCACAGCCATCTTCCCATTTCTACTGCTCTGTTTCCTTAATGTCCTTTGAGCAAGGTAGAAACTCAGAGGATGTGGGAAGCAGAGAAGTTAAGGAGGGATGAGAGAGAAACCCATTTGATGTTGATCTGCTTGAAGTAAGAAATAAGAAAGTGATGAAAGTCAGAGAGCTAGGAGATAAATGTTCAAAAAGAGATCTGAAGACAATAGGCAAATTGAGAAGGGAACCTACAGCGGTCAGAGACAGGAAGATACAAATGTAACCCAGAGAGGCCAATGCAAAATAGTAATTTGTTTAGATGTATCAATGTCTGGGAAAAGGTTAGGGGGCAACATCTGTGGGAAGAGAGGAGATCTAAAGGAGTTAAAAGTCTGTGAGAAATGTGAAGGAGACTGGGAGAAATGGAAAGAGTGAGAGACATTGGTGGGACACTGATGATGAAATGACATCGGTGCTGGATTGGGAATTCAGTGTGGTACAAGCAAGTTTGAAGGAAACAGAAATGTGCCAGAAATATGTTATTCCTACTGTAAGAGCTGATTTTGCATTGTAATACTGATAGCTGTGGGGCCATGGCCCATTTCCCCCATCTAGGAATTTCAGGACAGTGTGATTTATTGCGTGCAGCACTAGCTTAGACTGGATAATTTTAAAAGGAGTTTAGCACCATTTCCTTCCTTTACAGCTCCTTGAGAAATGCTTACACATTAGCTGTGGTGGAGAGCTAGGTGAATTATGAGACAAAAAAAGTTTTATTTGGGGAGGCTATGTTGCATTGCCTGCCTTTCCTTAAAGGGTGTAGCTGGAATACATTCAATATAGACATTATAAAGTGAAAACACAACATCCATGACCTTCCTAAATTTATAGACAATCCAGCAAAGGTACTGAAAGCATGTGATTAATATAGTCTAGGGCTTGGAAACAGACACTGCATACTCATGTAATCCAGCAAAATCTCTTTGAGAGCTATCTACCTATTCTCTGGAATTTCACTTGTCATGTAGAAAAATGAAAGTGGGTCTGATCTCTGGCTGTTCTAATTGTGAAGAAAACTTCCAGAATGGGAAGTATGTGTAACAAATAAACTGTTCTCTAGAGAGGTGAGAGCATAGGTCTAAATGGTGCGTGAATTGCCCCAGTCATTTCAGCAAGGTTCTAACTTATTTGCCCAGAAGTAATAATTTAAATGCCAATAATATTTTTCACCCTGTACTTCACGTAATAAATTGAAAAAGGTTCAAAGTGCATGTATTTAGCTTGTGTATTGCCAATACCAGCATAATCTGCTTGAATGAGCACCCTGTCATTGTGGTTGGTTTTGTTGTTTTCTGGGTTTTTTTTTTCCTTTTGCTTAGGCTGCCTTTTGTTCTTTGGTACATTTCGACATATTCAGGAGCTGATTTCATGTTGTTTCTAGCTATCCTCCTGTTACAACCACTCTGTAGCTTCTGAGCTTGGTGTTTTCATGTGACTGCTGTACCTCTGCCACAGGGTGCACACACACACAAAAACACACAGATATAAAGAGAAAACATTATTTGTGACTTATAAAAGCAGGCAACAATATGAATTCAGTTCTTCCCAGGACTATCCAAGTGTGGTGATGTGAAAACTGTCTTAGAGAGCTGGAGAAGGGACATCCTGTTTGTGCTTTGAACCTTCCCCCTCTGGATTGCATTTCATTTTTATTTGCATGTATCTTTAAAACAGACAATTTTGATCCTTACACAAGAGCATAACTGCTTCCACATCTGATTCATATCTGCAGGTGGACTGGTTTACTTTTAGTTAAGATCTGTGTGCCCAGGAAGACACAAATGTGTGTAATAGAAAACTAGCTTAATTGTTAACTATGAAGAGAACATTGTCTCTACATAATCAATCAATCAATCAATCAATCACTTATTTTTTTCCAGTGCACCCTTCATGCCAACATGCCTGAATGCTTTATGGTCATTAAATTAAATCAAAGAACACACCACAGAATGGACAAGGCCAGATCAATAAATCTTAAAACCTGATTCAAACTTACCAAGGACTCTGCACAAGTAACCATGACAGGAAGGATGACTCCAGTCAGGAGGGCATGTGTGTGGGCATAAAACTGAAACAAGACTTAGGTGATGCTAATTAGAAGACAGAAACATTTAAAGGAACTGTAATTTTTGTAGCATCACCCAGCTGCCAGCAGCATCAACCTGCAGCTTCATGTTTTAAGGGTATTTTCAGATTTATGAGCGGTATAAGAAAATAACAATGGCAGCAAGAACTTTTTACAATTTTTACAGCTGTACACTTCAGGGCACCTCTTGCCTAATTTTAGAGATTTGCCTATTTGTGATCTCTCCATTTGATTATTGAAGGGCACCATATTAAAGAAAGATGCAGTAAACACCAGCTGGCAATAACCACAGTATGACTGCTCTGTCTTCATGGAGCACCCCAGCAATTTGATCTTTGCAATGACTCCATGCTGAACTCAGATCCAGTCAGAAGTCATCCATTAGTTGGGCAGAACATTTCTTCCTCCTTGCTTGAGAGGAGAGCTTTATGGAACTGCCCAATTAATGGGGAGCTTTGTACATTTTGCTCATAGAAATATCCCAGTAGCTGTCACAACCTGTGGAGGTTCATTCCCAAAGTACATAAAATGACCACAGGCCTAACTACGTTCAAAACTAAAAGCAAACCCCAGTTCTTCAACTTAAACTTCCCTCCCTCAATAATGTCAAGGCATGTGCTCCTCAGTCTGTGAATTGGATCAAAAATATTGCCTAGAGGCAAAGGGTCAGAGGAGATTCCACTTATGAAAAACAGGAGGCCCTCAAAAGGGTGCAACCTCACTTGCTGAACAGACACCACAAATAGGATGGATAAAAGCCCACATGAGACTGGTATGTGAGCAAGCAGAAGCTGACAGTTGCCCCTCAGGAATAGAGTATAAAGCTTTCAGTTCTGCAGGAGATGTGATCTGAAAGTCTGCTTCCTGGAAGCAATCGTACCTGAACTGTTGCATGGTGCTGCAGTTGCATAATTTAATAGTTGTCATGTTTCATTCCAAGGTGAGTGTTCTTGGTGGTAGTGTACATAAAAAATTTGTATGTCATTAGGGATAAAAGGGTCTATGCCAGACAAGGTCAGATATTATCCTCATGAGTGGCAGAAGAGGTCCATATTAAAACAAAGAAGGTGTTTGATTTCCTTTTGAACGTGGGCAGATGATTCAGACCCACGTGCCCTTCATATGCTCTGTCTCTCCCCTTCCTATATCCTTTCTTTTGAAACAGATTTAAGTCCATCTACTTTTATATTTTCAAACAAAACCCATAAAAGGGCCATAAATATCATGACTCGCTAAAATGAAAGCTGTTTTCTTCTTCTCCCAGGAGACTCCTGCCTGAGAGAGAGACAGAAAGAGTTCACCTCTTTGAAAATTTCCTCCTCTGTCGAAGTAAAGCTGGTATCTAAAAGCAGCCTTCAAGGCTTTGTTCTTATCATCTTGACCTGGCTTTGTACTGGCTTCTCTCTGTATTGCTTGTGGAAGTGTGAAGGACGGGGCTAGGGGAAGGAGTTTTGGCTATCACTGGCAGAGCAAGGGTCATGCTTGGAAAGGGATTTCATTGTGGTTTCAGAAAACATTATAAAACTCAGTGCAGTGGCAGAAAGAATGAAGAAACTCATTCCCCTCCTGGATCAGACCAGTGATCCACCCTTTGTGTCTCTGATGTTGGCCAGAACCAGATTCACCTCAGAAGATATAAAGCAAGTTTAAGTGGGTAATTATGGAATAACCTGCCCTGAGTAAAATTTTCTCCCCTTCTGGCCCAAAGCCCTCCTTCATCTCTCCTCCTTGGTTAGAGTTCAACTCTATGCCCTGAAGCATGACGGCTTCTCTCCCTTCCAAACCGCTTTTCATCCTGGCCTGTCTCATGTAACTGCCTATGACAGTGATGGGATGTATAGGCCTTGTCCACTGAGAGTCTGTGACAGATCATAGCCTTATTGGAAAGAGAGGCAGAGAGGCTGAAGAGAAGGCGAGGGAGGAGAGCATAAACTCAGATGAAATATCCATCAGGAAGATGGAAAGAAGAGTGAGTGCCCGGGAAACTAATTGCTGCCTGCTGATCTGGGCTGTGGAGATAGCCTGCAAGTGAGCATTTTTGGTTTTCCATTTTTTGTGGAGCACACTAGGAACGTCAACTCTTGGTTGAAACTACTATTCATCAATATTTCCCTTTTTTTTAATATATATATATATATATATTTTTTTTTTTTTTTTTTTTTTTTTTTTTTTTTTTAAAAAATTTTTTTAAAGCTGTAGAAGTATGACAGTAGCCCTGAGAAAACAATTCCATTGTAATTCAAGGGTGCTTTTTCTTCCACTGCAGTTCACTAGTCATTTCTGAAAAGGTATTGGCATAATTCGGGGCTCTTAGACACTGAACATGGATGAAAATCAGGCTATTTTTCTACTGCCCAAATACTATTTAGGAATCCAAAGTTAGATATTCCTGCCTAGGTCCTTATCCCTATCACAGAGAGATGGCTACTCATAATCCTGAGTAGAGCAAAGCCCAGCTTCCGTGGATTTTGTTTGGCCATCGCATAGGGCATCAAAATTTATGTGACATAATACCAGATGCCCCAAGGTGACAATTAGAATTGTCTAGCACATGAAGGCTCTTGACTTTTTAGATATTGTCAATATTATCGCAGGTGATAGCACTATACCACAAAAAGCATTAACAAAGTTCCAAGGATTGCTTAAATGTATTTTCCAGATGGACACTTTCCAGTTGTATGCAGGTTGAATGACAGCTTTCACTTATTTGTCCAGGAGCTCAACAATTCCTAGGGAGAGGGAAAGAAGAGCTAGGTTTTGGATCATATCCAAGTCTCAGTAATGATTAATTTCACTCCCATAGTATCCACTGTTTCCCATATCTCTTTCCCTCAAAAGTGTGGCAAAGGGATCTGGAGTTTTCCAAGTGATGGGTGTTGAAATCACACCCAGTCTCCTGGATACCACGCTGAGGTGTTCAAAGCATCCTGCTGGTGCTGGCTGAGCACAGGAGATTGTTCATTAAGAAAAATGACTGTATCATTCATACTGGGCACAGCTGCAGTGAGCAGCTCAGTGGCAATGTTCAAGGCTCTGTAATCTCCTGTTAGTTGCCACTTGCCATTAGATTTTTTTACTGGCCGTAAAGGAGAATTGTAGGGGAAATGAGACGTGACGATAATTCCCTGTTCTTCCAGCTCCTTTATCAATTCAGTAACAGGACAAATAGCAGCAGAAGGTAATGTGTATTGTGGAATATTAACTGCCTTACTATGGGGTAAAGGAGCAGCTGTTTGCAACAGATTAGCAGTTAGAAATGCATCTGTAGGAGATAAACTCGGGGACAGAAAGGGCGATGTCCCTCTTTCCCATTTTCCCCACCACTGACCCTTCAATACATCCATGCCCAGAATATTAAGGGCACCCAAAAGTAAGGTCAGGTGGATTGTCTGTCCCTTAGACAGAATCAGCTTTGCCCTGACCAGAGGGTGGTTGGTGGGTTTCCCATTACGGCCTGCCATAGAAACTCGACTGCTTGCAAAGCAGAGTCTGCTCTTTGTAAGTGTCCTTACACACCATGGATATCCGGATTCCTGTGTCCCTGAGGAATCTTGTAAAGTAGGGATGGATCATTAATTTGGGACCATCATCTTGGGACTGAGATCCTCAGCAGTGGGAGTGGCACCCACCTTAGTTTCCTAAATATCCAGTCTAGGTTTAGTGCTGGTGGGCTTGGATATATCCCTGAGCTTACAGCACTTGCATGCTCTATCCCTTTGAACCATATGGTGTCACCCCATCTCCAAACACAGATCCCAGAGGGTTATGAGAAGTAAATGAGGAATACTTGTCCATTGCCACAAAAGGAAGGTTGGCATTTCAGAGACAGCTCCTTTCCTAAACATATTTTCCATCACCTTTTACACCCAGGAGTAACTGACCAGGTTTCTCAGTTTCTGCTTTTGTCTTTCACACGGAGGCAGGCTCGCTCTTTTACATTTTCTCTAGCTGAGGATCTCTCTTGGTTTTTACCCTCTGGGATGTATAGTGGTACATCTGCCAGCCTACACTGAAGGACATCTTGGAGAGTAATACCATTTAAGTTCGTCTTAGTGGCCAGTGCTAAAGATTCCCACACCCCCCCAGCTTCCATTAGACACACATCAGAAGTGTGCAGGCTCCCAGATCACCTCCCAAGGATGCAGTTCTGCTGGGAGGGGTTGTCAGGCTCCTGGAGCAAGGGGTGCTGTTCCTTCTAATTCAGCTAAAATCACTGCTTTCACCATGGCTGCATAAAGGCCTTTTGGTTCTTCCTGGCCACCTGTCCTGTCTACCTAGCTCTGCTTCAATCCAATGCTGCTGCTTCCAGCACACATCAGGCCTTAGCATGAGCTGGGTTGGCCAAACCAGGAGCCTGAGTCACAGAAAGGCCAGGGTCTTACGAAAACAAACAAAAACAAACAAAAGGGCTTGTTTTTATTATTATTATTTATCAGGAAATGTAGTGATAGGAAGGGGGTGGGTAACCATTTTAAACTGAAAAAGTGTAGCTTTTTATTAAATAGTGAGGTAGATTTATATTAAATAGGGAGGTAAATTTATATTAAATATTGGGAAGAAATTCCTTACTGTGAGGGTGGTGAGGCCCTGGCACAGGTTGCCCAGGGAAGTTGTGGATGCCCTGCATCTGGAAGTGTTCAAGGCCAGGTTGGGTGGGGCTCTGAGCAGCCTGGTCTGATGGCAGGGGGGTTGGAACTGGATGATCTTTATGGTCACATCCAACCCAAAACATTCTATGGTTCTATAACTGTTTTTTTCTAATCCACTTACAAAGTGCCACTGCCTGGTATGTATAGGGTGATAAGAATATTATTTCACTGAACTGACCTTATACATCTGCCCACAGCTTGGTCTGATGATGCTTACACACTGTAAAATAATCCCTTATTTCTGTGGCAAATCTCTCTTGTGTCGACAATTAAGTACCCTTTATAATTCCATTTTTTGGCTATGTTTACAGCAACATAGCTATTACAAATGTATAGGAAATGTAAATAACTTACCTAATATTTTTCCTAACCACCTTTCTCCTTGTTTCTCCTTCAGTTATGAATGCCTTGGAGAAGAGATCATTCTTGCTTAGTGCCTGAAAATGCCTGAGCTTCTAGAGGCACCTACAGTAAATAAAAAAAAATTATGCTGGATTCTATTTTCACTAAAAGAAAAAAAGAAAGGCATGTTATAACCCTGATTTGGTGTGATTATACTGTAAATAGGCCATAAACAGTCAAAGGGAAAATAACCCACAATATTCACACCTTTGAGAGACTGTGAGGTGATAATCGCTATTCTTCCCTGCTGTTCAAAATATTTTCCAAGTGTCCTCGAAACTGCATTGGCAGCAGAATGTGGCCCAATTCAAGGGCTTTAATGCTACTGCTAAGTAGAAATGATTTTTGTCCTCGAAATTTTCAGTGGAATAGTCTGTATTTTGCAAAAGAAAAAGCATAGCTATTCACTGCAAAAGCAATAAGAAAAAAGGCAGAGACCATCAGAAATCTTTCTGACAAGACAATTCCATGGTTTTTTTTAAAAATTTTGTCCAATTAAGGAAAAAGTACAAATGTTGAATTTCAAAAATAGGCATGTTCTGTATGAAGATGACAGAGAATTTCAGTGTTGCTGGCTGAAATTAATAGGGAGCATAATGTCCACTTCATACATGGGGAAACAGGAACAGAGATTTGCCTTCAGCTCATTTTTTCACTTTTCCCCAAGAACTGTTGCATGCCACACACAGAACTGGTGTTTTAAACGGGTGGTGTAGCTTACTTTTAAGACCACAACCCTTCTTTGCAAGCAGCATGGCTGCCTCTGCCTGTCACAATGCCACGAAGAGCTCTGCCAGAGAATCGTTCCAAAACCTTGCAGGGAGATACTGTGTTTTTCCTGCCCTTTGTGGTGAGAATCTTTTTCGTCTTATATCCATGCCCATACTTAACACTTTCAAATCTTTCACCATTATGACCTGTTATTTCTCAGCATCTTTCTGGGCTGATAGATAGCTAAGGATATAGGTATTTCCTGTCACTACATTAATATCCAGAGGTCTTAACTAGCACCAGGACCCACTGCAGCACGTACAGCGTGCAGCACAATTCTAGATGTTCTCACCCTGAAAGACTTGCAAGTTAAATGAATGAAACAGACACAGGCTGGGAGAAAGAGATTGCATCTGTAAGTGTGTTTGAGAAACTGAGCCCGGTGTTGTATATGGATACTGCAGCAGCAGAAGTCTGCAGGAAATTTCAAACGATAGGGCTAAATTCATCTTGCTAACAAACATTCTCCATCAGCAATTACTCACCTCTGTGTGGTGCAATTAAACACTCACTGGCCTCCAGAGAGCACAAGCACAACTTTCTAAACTGGTGATTAAGGCCTTTGTCTGTGAGGAGCAGACATATGTTTCAGGCCTTTTTCCACAGAGTGTGTGATGTGAAAATGTATGGCATTTATCAGTGCAGGCTTTTCCCCTCCCAAGTCATGGCTCCTGGCTGCTACCTTGCAAAGCAGCAGTGTTGTGCATTTTTGGCCCAAAGAAAATAACCATTTCAAAAGGAAATAGTTGATATGTGACTCTTTAACAGAATAACCAACAGCACAGGGAAAGAGCCTGGCACTTCCTTGGACACATTCAGGTTTTCTGAGCGAGTTAAAATGCTGTCTTCTGAGATGGCCTGAACACTGAGCTACTGAGTTGAAAAAGACCCCCCTCTGCCTTTTGTCACCTGCTGCTTGTGGGCTGTGTCTTGTCTGTGGATAAGGTTGGCGTTAGAACTGAAGTGAGAACAGGCTGGGGAGAAATTCCTCATTGCAGTTTCATGTTTATCCATCATAACCCAGGGTATTTGCAGACTGTCCCTAAAATATGCTGCACTGAATTTTGCAGTGCTTCAATCATCTTTTGGATCCGGGTCACACTGCTGGTACAGGTGGTTTCAAATATAAATACAGGCCATCACATGGATGGGACATACACCCCTGGCAAAACCGGGAGCTTTACCTATGTTTTTCTGTTTGAGAAGTGATTCAGAAACAATCAGATTGGTTCTGGCTCTGTGTGGCAGATTGCACTTGAGCATGCAGCAGCCTCCTAGCCAGCAGAAAGCTGGGCTAAATCACCCACTGGAAGTACAAGCCTGCTTTAGCATTTAACAGTGAAACTCAGCAAAACGTCAGCTTTTATTTTTGCGTTGTCCTAGGCTCAAAGGCTCCCAAGGCTCAAAAGATTGCAAATGCCTCTGGAGTATCAAAGCTTCAAATCCAATGTAGCCTGGCTATTATTCCCTTCAGCATGGGCAGTTACAGAGATGGGATGAATGCTCCCCAGCTAGATAATTTAAAACCTGTGTTTAGCATTAATTCTGTCAGTTTGGAAAGCAGGCAGCTTATAACACAGGGCGATGCAATGCCCTGGGCATCTGTTGGACTTGCACATGGTAATGGAATGGGAGGGGTTTAGGTGAGATTTGCAAATGGGCAGAAGAATCTGCTCTGAGGGAAAGGTCTTGCCAAGATTCATGCAGGCAGTGGCATCAGAAAGGTGCTGCATGTGGCACATTACAATGGACACACTGAAAGTTTTCCTGTTCCCTTATTCTACCATATGGACTGAGTTACTGTGAAAATCTTGTTCCCTGCACAAAGGGGCAGAATAAAATACTGTTTGGCTTAAACCTATTCCTGCTTGTGAATGTAAATTAAATCTGTTCTCCTTCAAATTTCTTTTGTTCTGCTGCTTTTATCTTTGTGGAAATTTTCTTTGGTGACTCCTCTGTTGTTGTCAGCCTCGCCCTTACAGGTGAAAATCATGAACCTTTCTGAAGTTACAAGCTCTAGGAACATGTCCTAGAGGCAACATGGAGTTACAGAACCCCAACCACAGTGCACTATTACACTGGCTTTTCCTGCCCTCCTCCGTGCAGTTATTTGGGAGAAAGTTCTGTAGGCCAGAGAAACTATATTCATAACATCCACTATTTAAACCTCTCACTTGGATTCTTCCCTAGCAGTGAGAACTGACATACTGTCAAAGTTGACAGCACTATGCCAGTTTATTGCACCAGAAGACCTGGCTATTCCTTTCCTCCCATCTGCAGAGCTTGGCTGCTCCCATTATACAAACCCTTTCTCACTCCTGCCCCTAATAAAATCTCCATGCTTCACATGCTCCCTCAGCCTCCCTTTGATTCGTGCTCCCGGAGTCTTCCTCGCTGCTGACGTCGGGAGGCTGCACAGCTCTGTAATTTCCCGACAGCCCTTTTCAAACCCTGCCTTTTAATCGGGTGCTGTGTTTTACCAGCACTTCCTTCTCCCACTGAACGCCTTTGAAGCGAGGCTGCCAGCGCTGGTGGGGTTCCTTCTCCGCTGCCCTTTTTTGTTGTTTCCATACAGAATTCTAGGACAGAATTTTGTCGCTTTTTAGATGCTCTGATTTTTTATTTTTTTAATTTTTTTTTTTCTGTGTTGTGATCCTAATTTCCTGCAGGATTTCTTCTTCCTCTCCTGGGAAATTTGTCTCTATTTCTGGCATCTGTCCTTCCTAACCCTTCCCACGTTTCTTCCCTTCTAAAGACAGGGGAAAAGAATCCATTTAATATTTTTCTGTAGTAACGTCTATCTCATCTGTCAATAAATTACCCTTTGCCATCTCTGGGAGACCCCTTTGTCTCCCTTCACTGACCTTATTCTGTACCTTGCCTGGTTTTTTTTTAAGGGAGGATGCAATATCCCTGGGCTGTCATTCCATGAAGAACAGCTGTCATTCCTCCCATAGTGTATGCGAATGTGTTTGAGGAGGGAGGGGAAAGGGAGGGGGGAATTAGGGGAGGATGGGGTTCTGCTGTTGGGAAATATGATGGTCCTATTCAGAGTGGTAAATGTTTTTTCATTCGTGATATTCCACTGCAGTTCTGTCTTTTTCTTCAGTGGCTTTAGACATTCATTTTCCTGTTAATCTAACTCATCTATCTGACATATAACTACAAGAATATTTATTAAACATCTTTTTAAAACTATGTATGCATTTTATAAGTGTCTGATTTCTGCACAGTCTCTGCAACTGTGAATGCTAGCTCACCGTCAGAACTGCAGTCTAATACTACAGAGGTGGATTCAGAAAGCATTATCTGTGCCTTAAAAACATGAGTTTGCCATATATTTTCAGTGTTACAAACTGAAATGCTCACTGAGAGGGTTAAAGAACATGGTACAGTCCTGCATGTAACTAGCTAGCTGTGCAGACCTGCAGAAGGAAGAGAGAGATCCATGAATCCAGCAATTCCTGCCCTGTTCTTATTCTTCCTTGTGTTTTTGAAGCACTGCAGACTCCCAGATAACTCATCACAGAGCATTCAATGCATTTCTTGTGGTCCAAGGGCTTTGTGTGTAGCACAGGAATAAGTTCCTTTCTACCTGCTTGTGCTCCCATACACAATCTAACCATAAATTAGTACAGTTTGAAAAAGCAAATATTAGTTTTGGTCAAATTCTACCAATGTATTTTAAGAAACAAAGGAAGTAAATGCACCAAAGATGCTCTCACCTCTGTACCTTCTGGCAATTACACTTCTTAATGCATTTATTTTCACAATATGGGCGTGAAATAAGGAAATGCAGTTGTTATCTATGGTGTGCATAGAAACACAGCAAAGCGACCTCAAGGCACAAGACACAGCACGTGCTGGGGCCCTTATTCTCTGAGTACCTGAATCAAAAACCTGCTGAAACACTGTGAGTCTTGTTTGATCCAGCCGTGGGGTTTCCTTTGTTTGGAAACCAGCAAGAGGCACCGTGTTTGTGTCACAGGCCAGGTCCAGGCATGGCCTCTGGACCTGTGAGCTCAGAGGTGTTCCAAAGACCCAGATTAGCAACACCAGAGAGAGACTGAAGAACTTAAGTCAAAAAGAATGTCTAGGTACAACATAGATGCCAAGCTCCTCACTTCCTTGTCCTGTGGTAGCAGGACATCAGCAGAACATCTTTTCTCTTAAAAGCACTGTAGTAGTTGTTTTACAACTGTTTTGTGATTGATGTCCACTCTGGCCCTTTCTCTCTCATCTGATAGCTCTGGCAGTCCCTGCTTGATTTAGCCATCCCAGCTGAAAAGGTAACCCATCTCCACAACTAGAAGTAATAAATTCTTTAGCCACCACAGCAAAATACATTGATATCATCTTGAATTAAATCACTCACGTCTGCAGTCCTCAGTCCGGGATATCACAGTAAATTGGTATCAGCTGAAATAAGATTTACATTAGTAAATACATCAGGCTATGAGCTGACCAGTTTGCACTGGCCACACCACTTGTTCAGCCACGTCTTCCTTGAGATAACTCCTTCTAGCACCTTAGTAATGCAGCCAGCTGAACAGTGATAGCAAACTTCTCCAGGGGGAATCACTGGGGCTTGGGAACCAGAGCCGTTACTTCCCTAGAAACAATCTGTGCCTTCAAGGACTAAGGCTCTGTCTGCATATGGAAATCAAGTTTTCAAATGTATTCAAATGTTGGTAATACCAACCCTGCTCCAGCACCAGGAAGAAGGTGTGGAGTCTACTGAAGAATAGCTCTTGGCTACTGCCATCTTCAGGACTATCCCATGTTAATTATTCAGGTCTCTTGTAAAAAGACACCTGTGGTAACTGGCAGAGTATCTGCACAAACATTAGCAGCCTTGAGGCTAAGAAACTGTTAAATAGCCTTAGTAATAGAATATTAAAACCTTGATGATGAGCAAGCTAGCGTGGGTGGAATAATTGTCTGCTCAGAAAGAGGTGCCTTTTTCTCATTCTATTCCTGTTGTTGAATCCTTATCTCCTGGATAAATAAAAACAAACTCACTCAGTTATTGTTCTCGTTCACCTTTTGACTCTTGATTAGATTTACTGCAGATACATCCCTTTGGCAATGAAAATGGAATCAACACATTTCTGATGCACTCCAGTGGAATTCTCAGCCCCTGCTCCACCCTCAGACCACCAAGGTCCTCCTTTTCTGAATGGCAGTTAATTACCTGTCCTTCTAGCACATGCATGAGATACAACTGTCAGAGAGACCACTTGCTCTGAGTAACAGACTGCTCTGTTTCACTTTGAATCTTTATCTTATTTTTCATCCTCAGCACTTGGAGCCAAACCTGATACCTTTCTGAAGAGAGAAACTCATGGTGATGCAAGCTGCCTTGCTGGGCTGCTTCTCCTTTCTATATTTTTCAGTGTTTTCCCAGATGAGGCCCCAGGATTATTGCAAACGAGTCCCAGGAAGAAATGCTGCTCAATTAGGCGAAAAGAAACTCGAAGGAAAAAAGGAGTAGAGCCAGCAAATTGCTTGAGATAACAATCTCCCCCCACCCGTGTGTCTCTGTAACTAAGAGGATTAGCTGAACTTTCTGTGTCACACCAAAACTGACAATAAGCAACAGTGACTTCCCCCCGCTGGCACTTGTACCTTCACATGTTTCATTTTCTTGCCCACACTACTGCCTTGCCCCTTGCTGATTGTATGACAAACTTGGGGATGAACATGATGGCTCTTTCCTTTCCTTTAAGATTTATGACTCAAAGCCAAATAAAACCCAACTCAAGTTATTACATGCTCTGTTTCCTCCTAACAACAACTCACTTTTAACAGTGTAAGCTAAGCAAGGAAACATGGAAATATGGTCTCCTTGATCTCACCTGATCCATCTGCTGCTAGAGATGCAAACAGCAGCCTCGGGTCTGCCAACACGGGAGCAGGCATAAAGACGTCCCTTGGGAGCAGGACCAAATGTCTGGAATATATAAAGAAGAAGTCCCATCAAAATTCAAAGTAACTGGGGTTCTGTGTAGATACAGCACTGCCAGCAAGGAGCTGGATGTTTATTTCAAGTTAAGATTTATCATTGTGTGGTAGGAGGACTACCTAGGGTAGTCTTGCAGTGAAAGGAAATACACTTTGTCAAAGGACTCTGTCGCCAGTTATGGAATCAGCCTCATGTTCCTCTGACAGTGCTGTACACATGATGAAAAGAATATGGCTTGTGACTGAAGATGATCAAACATCAAATTATTCCAGTTCTAAAGTAAACTAATTCCTTTTGCTGACCTGTGTAGAACATCACTCCAAACCTGGTGAACAACTCCTTTCCCTGAGCCTGCCAGAGAATGTGTACTGAGAGATGAAGTTCTGAGACAAGGCAAAGCAGGAACACTCTACCAACCCACACGTGCTCCCTCCCTTCTCTTCCCTGAGTTTCCACAGGAGACCACAGCAGAAGGTGGTGAAAAATCTGAAAGATGAATGCCTCTGATACCTGAAGGGCTACACACAGGCACACTGACTAAGTAAGCACCTGTGCCACGGTGAAGAAGGAAGCTGAAAGCAAGAAGGAGGCAGGTGAATTAGAAATGATTTCACACTGATGTAAAGCAGATACCAACACACAAAAAGGGAATGTTGGGATAAAACGAGTTGGGATGTGGGACTCGGGTGATCACCACCAGTGTAAGGACCGAGGGGAAATGCTGACACAGCAAATTCTGCAGCAAGTATTAGGGTTGGGTTATAAAATGCATGGGACTTGCCAGTTCTTGTAAAGCATTTTACTGAACTAGGCATCTGTGCTGTGTGCCCTCTCATTGCTGCACAACTCCCTGGACCTAAATTAAATCACTATGGCGCTTCTGCCATGTTAAACGGTCCGAGCAGGTACTCTCAGGCCACATAAATTCAGTGAAGTAGTGTTTTGGGTGTCCCTGTACAGCTTTATTTGTGATCAAAGGGTATGGTGTTGTGGGGGAGAAATACTTCCAGACAGATTTAGACTTTTACTCCAAAAATCTGTTCAGACTGAGAGGCATTGTAAAAACTGCCCGGTGTATTGCCACGGGGCAAGACTGCCTTGTCACTCTGTAGCAACCCCTGTCTCGCCTACATGGAGCAGCAGTTTTAGTTCAAAGGGATCCAGGTCCATTCTCTTTCCCCATTTACATGAAATGGGACTAGAGTGGAGCGTGGCAGCCTATTAACAGTGCCCCACAGCACTGCAAGAGTTCTGCCTAGAGAGTGAAGGACACCGTGTCCAATTGAAATTACAGAGGAATTTGGGGTAGGCAGAATGTAATTACACAATTGGAATTTAAACTGTGAAATTAAAAGGAAATATTCAAGGATGAAGGGGCAGAGAGAATCCCTAATCTCCAGCCAGGCTAGGCTGTGTGACAGAAAAGTCCCTTTCTGAAGGGGGAATAAGCAAAGAGCTGTCCTGGAAGAAAGGGAGGTAGAGAATAAAGACAATGTTTTCAAAAGCACCCTAACTCCAGCTGTGTGTTTGTTTCATAGGCTATGTCTATTCTACAGAAAACCTTGCGGTTGCTAAAAGGCATCAGATGTGTCCCTCTTGGCCCCCTCTTCACTGAGGTCAAAAACAATTTGGTTCCTCATGTAAGCAGCACCAAAGCATTCCCAAGGTCTACAGCAGAAAGTGTGCTGTACAACTGGTCAAAAAAAAGGAGTTCAGCCTTGGTTTTCATATAGGTACAAACCAGAATTTGCCCTTCTACCCGAGTTTGTCACTCTGCTGGCAGTCTTGCTTTAGTATCTGAGCTTTTCCCAAGTCTTAGTTAGTTATCATCCCAAGAAAAACCAAGTATTTTTAAGGGTTTTGCTGTAGCAAGGGGAGGAAGAGAAAAACGCTGAAAGC